CAACTCATCTTTCATTGCATCTAACCATTTAGAAGAATTTGCACTTTTTATGGCTTGTGAAAATGAAACTGGATCATCATTTACTCCTAAGTCAAATTTGGATTCATGAAGATAAACCACATAATCATTAGAACTAACAGGTCGTTTTTGTCATTGAGACTTTCTAGGTGCTACTTCATGTGGTTCATCTAAGGTAGGTTCATTAGTGACAGTTTCATTTTGGGGTATTAATCATATATTTGTTGTTCTTGTAAGTTGTCAAAATGTTCAACAACTGTAGGAATAACAACTTGAGAAGAAATTTTGGGTAAAAAAACTTGAAACCTAATTTCTTGGATCTCCACTTTATGTGGTTCCAAACTCCCACTAACTTCACCATTTTCAATGAACTTAGCATTTTCAGTTTCAATAATTCTTGTATTGTGGTTAGGACAAAAAAATCTATACTCTTTAGATTTTTCTTGATAGCTAATGAAGAAACCATTGATTTTTCTCGAGTCCAGTTACTTTTCATGTGAATTATATAACCTTATTTCTGCTGGGCAACCCCAAGCAAGCAAGTGCCTTAAACTAGGTTTTCTTCCTGTCCACAATTCACTTTGAAAGTGCGTTATTAGAAATCCTGTTTAATAAATATGCAGCGGTCTTTAAAGCATGCATCCACAATGATGAGGGTAAAGAAAATGATGAGGATAAAGATATCATACTCCTAACCATTTTAACCATTTCTATTGGAGTACGATTTCGCCTTTCTGCAACACCATTTGTTGTGGTGTTCCTCGCATAATGTATTAAGCACATATGCTATTAGTTTGAACGAATTTAGCAAATGGACCTGGACATTGTCTAGATTCATTGTAAGTTCCATAATATTCACCGCCTCTATCAGACATGATAATTTTCACTTTTTTGTCTAATTGTCTCTCAACCTCGGTTATATACACCTTTAAGGCATCTATAGCTGGAGATTTTTGATGCAATAAATAGACATACCCATAATGTGAAAAATCATCAATAAAGGTGATAAAGTATTTCTCTCCACCAAAAGATGGAACATCAAAAGATCCACAAATATCAGTGTGTATAATTTCAAGGAGTTGTGTGATTCTTGTGGCGGCTTTCTTAAGTGTGTGATTTGTGTGTTTTCCTTTAATACAATTCATACAGATGCCAAGAACAGTAAAATCTAATTCATTAAGGATTTTATTCTCTACTAATCTTTCAATTTTTTCTTTGGAAATATGACCCAAACGTTTATGCCACAAATAACCTGAACTTTCATTCATAAAACCACGTTTAGTACCAATATTATGATGCAAAGTCATCAAATTCTTAGAGAAAAGGTTATCAAGTTTAAGCTTGTATAGGCCATCACAAAGAATACCAGAACCTATAAGATGATTGTGTTTAAACAAACTGAAACAACCATTTCCAAATTTAAATGAGTATCCAATAGAATCAAGTTTAGACAACGAAATCAAATTACGAGAAACAGAAGGGGCATAAAATATTTGAAAAAGGTCTAAATGATGTCCAGTATCTAAAATCAACCGATAGGTTCCAATAGCTTCAACTGACGCTTTGACTCGGTTTCCCATGAAGACAAATTGTTCATTTGGGTTTATGATTTGGGTTGTAAGGAATCCCTGCATCGTATTAGAAACATGAGTGGTACAACCAGAATCAATCCACCAGGTATTATAAGGAACTTCTGCCAAATTTGATTCGAAACATACAGAAACACAAGGTTTACCTTTCTTTTCGAACCAGTCTTTGCGCTTTTGACACTCATTTTGATAGTGTCCAGGCTTTCTGCAAAAGTGACACTTAATTCCTTT